AGACTTTCCTCATAGGAGCCGGTGGCCACCTGTCAGAATGACCAGAACGAGCCTGCCCTCAAGGAGAAACCAATGGTCAGCCCCGGATAAGTCGCCCTGCTATACACCTGTCTTTTGTGGCATTTCTATTTCGGACCCAAATCACCATGGGAAATTCTTTTTCGATTCTTCGTCCTCGATTTTCTGCGGCTTATAGTACTTGGAATTTTGTACAGCTTCCTCTTTCAGCGATGCTGGATGAGATTAAACGTGTTTATTTCCATGGTCACGTCAACACGAGGTCACTAGGGATATAAATGATGGCAGGGTTGGGTAGTACGGGCCCAAGGTTTCATCACTGCCGATTATTCTCCCAGTATCACGAGCATGAATCAAATTCGTACGTCGTTTAAAACTAAGATTTAAACGTGAATATTTGTGCAGCTCTGAAAAGTGAACTCCTTTGCGATATCATTGCAAGACGGCAGACACGATACAAAATTAACTCTGTCATCTCTGGAGTGTTCAGTGGATTGTTTCCTCCTATGGTGATCTCTGGGCCTACGTCCACAGAAAAACAATGATAATTAATGTACCACCCCACCCCACGTTAAAGCAAGGAAAACGTGCATGAGTAAAATTTCGAAAGACTTGGTGTGTAAAAAAACAGTCCATCCATACTCGCATCCAAAAGAGCCCAGCACATTGACGTAAGGTGGATTATAATGCCATATATTGACAATTGGACCATCCAGAATGTAGATACGTAGACTTCGTTGAGTGGATAAACCCAGGCACGTAGGCCTATCTGTATTGACCTATACATATCCTCTTAAGTTGAAAAAGCTCATTACCACTTAATTAGTTATTCTAATGAAGAAAGAAAACCTTTCACCAAGCATACCTTCAGACTGTTCGATTTTATCTAACGATAGTACGAGTTGATACTATGCTTCCTTTTGAGCCAAGATATTTTCCCAGGGAAAACGATACAGCTTAATCGAATGTGTTCGATACACCGTACAGTTGGTGAATAGTGTGGGACATTTAAATCCATCGACAATGGCAACTACTATTGATAATCAGGTATGCAGGGACCATCGTCGACAAAAGGGTGTTGACCGAGCAGGGTATCCGAGGGTAATCGGGATATACGTATAACGACAAGATCATCCACGGAATCTGGTTTCGGGGAAATCTTTAATCCACAGAAGAGCACGAACACCGGGGGGGGGGGGGAAGTGCCACCG